GAAACTACAATGTGAATTCACCCGGTACTTGTTATCAGCGATAAAATCACTAGATGACAGGCACAAACTTGAGTTATATAACAGGATTCAGTAGAGTAAAGCACGTTTTTGGCCTGGGAATAAGTAGGCTGTTGGAAGGTAGTGAACCCACCTCTAGTGCATATTTATAATTAATTCACAAAACGCGCTTAACCTGCATGGGTCAAATTGGCAAAAGGTTGTAGGATAAGTTTATTTAGGTACAAGTGCACATAAATACAGTTACATCAATTATCATACACAGTAACGTGTATAACTTACTATAATAACCATCCAAAAAAGGTCAGTCCCTTATTTATATTAGGATCCTTTAAATACCTTAATAATTTCTTCTTTCAACGCACCGGGCCATATCCCACCTAGGCAGGGTGACCCAAAAAGAAAAACGAACGTTTCTCTTCATAAATTTAGTAATATATACAGGAGAAGGGGTTACTAGCCTCTTGCTCCCGGCATTTTAGTTCCCTCTCACAACACGCATGACTTACCTGGAGTTTACCTGGAGAGAGTTCCGGGGGTCAACGCCCCCGCGGCCCGGTCTGTGACCAGGCCTCCTGGTGGATCAGAGCCTGATCAACCAGGCTATTGCTGCTGGCTGCACGCAAACCAACGTACGAGCCACAACCCGGCTGATCAGGAACTGACTTTAGGTGTTTGTCCATTGCCAGCTTGAAGACTGCCAGGGGTCTGTTGGTAATCCCCCTTATGTATGCTGGGAGGCAGTTGAACAGTCTCGGGCCCCTGACACTGTATGGTCTCTTAACGTGCTAGTGACACCCCTGCTTTTCATTGGGGGGATGGTGCATCGTCTGCCAAGTCTTTTGCTTTCGTAGTGAGTGATTTTCGTGTGCAAGTTCGGTACTAGTCCTTCTAGGATTTTCCAGGTGTATATAATCATGTATCTCTCCCTCCTGCGTTCCAGGGAATACAGGTTTAGGAACCTCAAGCGCTCCCAATAATTGAGGTGTTTTATCTCCGTTATGCGCGCCGTGAAAGTTCTCTGTACATTTTCTAGGTCGGCAATTTCACCTGCCTTGAAAGGTGCTGTTAGTGTGCAGCAATATTCCAGCCTAGATAGAACAAGTGACCTGAAGAGTGTCATCATGGGCTTGGCCTCCTAGTTTTGAAGGTTCTCATTATCCATCCTGTCATTTTTCTAGCAGATGCGATTGATACAATGTTATGGTCCTTGAAGGTGAGATCCTCCGACATGATCACTCCCAGGTCTTTGACGTTGGTGTTTCGCTCTATTTTGTGGCCAGAATTTGTTTTGTACTCTGATGAAGATTTAATTTCCTCATGTTTACCATATCTGAGTAATTGAAATTTCTCATCGTTGAACTTCATATTGTTTTCTGCAGCCCACTGAAAGATTTGGTTAATGTCCGCCTGAAGCCTTGCAGTGTCTGCAATGGAAGACACTGTCATGCAGATTCGGGTGTCATCTGCAAAGGAAGACACGGTGCTGTGGCTGACATCCTTGTCTGTCGGATATGAGGATGAGGAACAAGATGGGAGCGAGTACTGTGCCTTGTGGAACAGAGCTTTTCACCGTAGCTGCCTCGGACTTTACTCTGTTGACGACTACTCTGTGTTCTGTTAGTGAGGAAATTATAGATCCATCGACCGACTTTTCCTGTTATTCCTTTAGCACGCATTTTGTGCGCTATTACGCCATGGTCACACTTGTCGAAGGCTTTTGCAAAGTCTGTATATATTACATCTGCATTCTTTTTGTCTTCTAGTGCATTTAGGACCTTGTCGTAGTGATCCAATAGTTGAGACAGACAGGAGCGACCTGTTCTAAACCCATGTTGCCCTGGGTTGTGTAACTGATGGGTTTCTAGATGGGTGGTGATCTTGCTTCTTAGGACCCTTTCAAAGATTTTTATGATATGGGATGTAAGTGCTATTGGTCTGTAGTTCTTTGCTGTTGCTTTACTGCCCCCTTTGTGGAGTGGGGCTATGTCTGTTGTTTTTAGTAACTGTGGGACGACCCCCGTGTCCATGCTCCCTCTCCATAGGATGGAAAAGGCTCGTGATAGGGGCTTCTTGCAGTTCTTGATGAACACAGAGTTCCATGAGTCTGGCCCTGGGGCAGAGTGCATGGGCATGTCATTTATCGCCTGTTCGAAGTCATTTGGCGTCAGGATAACATCGGATAGGCTTGTGTTAATCAAATTTTGTGGCTCTCTCATAAAAAATTCATTTTGATCTTCGACTCTCAGTCTGGTTAGCGGCTTGCTAAAAACCGAGTCATATTGGGACTTGAGTAGCTCACTCATTTCCTTGCTGTCATCTGTGTAGGACCCATCTTGTTTAAGTAGGGGCCCAATACTGGACGTTGTTCTCGATTTTGATTTGGCATAGGAGAAGAAATACTTTGGGTTTCTTTCGATTTCATTTATGGCTTTTAGTTCTTCCCGCGATTCCTGACTCCTAAAGGATTCTTTTAGCTTAAGTTCGATGCTTGCTATTTCTCTGACCAGTGTCTCCCTACGCATTTCAGATATATTGACCTCTTTTAGCCGCTCTGTTATTCTTTTCCGTCGTCTGTAAAGGGAGCGCCTGTCTCTTTCTATTTTACATCTACTCCTCCTTTTTCTTAGAGGAATAAGCACTTGTGCATACATCGAGTGCCACCGAGTTAATCTGTTCTAGGCATAAGTTGGGGTCTGTGTTGCTTAGTATATCTTCCCAGCTTATATCGGTTAGGACTTGGTTTACTTGGTCCCACTTTATGTTTTTGTTATTGAAGTTGAATTTGGTGAATGCTCCCTCGTGACTAGTCTTATTTTGTCGGTCTGGGGCTCCACGCATACATGTCTGAACCTCAATTATGTTGTGATCTGAGTATATTGTTTTTGATATGGTGACATTTCTTATCAGATCATCATTGTTAGTGAAGATGAGGTCTAGTGTATTCTCCAGTCTAGTAGGCTCTATTATTTGCTGGTTTAAATTGAATTTTGTGCAGAGATTTAAAAGCTCGTGTGAGTGTGAGTTTTCATCAGAGCTGCTCCTGGTGTTATTACTGCAACAATATTATTTGCTATATTCCTCCATTTTAGGTGCCTTAAGTTGAAATCCCTCAGGAGCAAGATGTTGGGTGCAGGAGCTGGAAGATTTTCCGGACAGTGGTCAATTTTTAACAGCTGTTCCTGGAATTGCTGGGATGTTGCATCCGGAGGCTTGTAGACTACCACAATGACTAGGTTTTGGTTCTCGACCTTTACTGCTAAAACTTCCACTACATCATTTGAGGCATTAAGCAGTTCTGTGCAAACAAGTGACTCTGCAATGTACAGGCCACCCCCCCCCTCCCTTTTGCCTGTTCACTCTGTCACATCTGTATAGGTTGTAACCTGGGATCCATATTTCGTTGTCCAAGTGATCCTTTATGTGGGGTCTCAGTCAAAGCCGCGAACATTGCCTTTGCCTCTGCAAGCAGTCCACGGATGAAAGGTATTTTGTTGTTTGTTGCTGGCTTTAGACCCTGTATATTTGCAAAGAAGAATGTTATCGGACTGGTGGTATTGTTGGTACTGGGGGGATTTTTTTCCGGCATTAGTATCTGTATCTGTTGGTTTGGAGTGGAGGCCATCGACTGTGGTTCCACTCCAGGAATGACTGGATTTGGTGTACGATTTCTGCCATTTCCTGCCAGTTTTTTTTCCTTCCTGGCACTAAAAAGCCTCTCCCTCTTGAGTGGCTGTGGCTACCCAGGTTTTCCCATGGCCTGGATGTTTTGTATCTTTTTGTCCCCTTTAGATGGTATGCCTGGCAATTTAAGTTATAGCACAGTCTTTCCTGTACTGAAGAGGTACACAGTTCAGGGTGAAAAAGCTTACAGGAAGGGAGTTTGCATTTTCCTGTTGTCATATGGGCATGGCATTTTCTAGGGTGGTCATAGTTGCACGTCCCATCTGTTTTTCCAGATTTCCCATGCCAGCAGATACCAAGTGCATAGTATGTGCACAGGCTTGGTTTCCGTTTGCCTTGGGTTTCTGTGACTGTATTCCCTGTTGGTGCATGTTTCCCTGTCTTCTATCCTCCCTAGCACCAACAATGGAGCTCCCACCAGTTGTTTTTGGTAGTATATCCTCACTATTGCTAGAGGAATTCTGTTCCACTTCACCTTAAAATCTCAAACTGGGATAATAAAAATAAGAGCCGCCCATTCGTATAGATTTGAACCTCCCAAATAAGCTTATAAAATAGCCTAGTATACTATAACTCGCCGCCTCCTACGAGTGAAACTCTGTATATAACTGGTTATATAACCACAAAGGTTATATAACCGACAAAGTTATCAATACTGCTTAATATGTGGTATATGGTATATTACACTGAAGTCTTTTCAACCATCAGGGAAATAGTTATTTCACAGTCGTTCTAGAGATGTGAGAAATTCCATATATTTACCCAAGTTGTCCCAGAACTGCCCTCAAGGGAGGTTCCTTGACGCTGGTGAGGGGCTCTTGATCTAGGGAATTAGATCCGTGCTCCAGTTCCCTGAATTAAGCCTTAATGTCATCCATTCCCCCCTCCCACACTAGCTGTATAATACCTACGGGTTTAGCCATCCCTTTAAAAATAATAATGTCCCAGAGCTAGAGAAGGGTAGACCTTATCTCAGTCTTCAAGAGTCGATACAACACCCGATCGTAATAGCGTTGTAGCTCCGCGATTACACCAGTATCACTACGACCCTTGGTATATACACATACACGTACTTTTCTCCAGGGTATATCCCTCGTATATACCACATCATCACTTTCAGCCTTCCAAGTGTATTAGCCAAAACAGTGGAATCTTGTTTGGTGTGTGGTTCAAGTGGTCTGAAGCGACGTTAAGTGAGCATAAGTAGTGATCTGGAACCCGTGTGAACCACCGAATTATTAACGTATTCCAATGGTGTAATTAACCTTGCTTATTCAGAAGAAAAAATCAGTATTGTTAATATTCCAGCTGTTAATTTATCCCCTTAAACTAACCCATAAATTTAGCTTTGATCTCGTAATAATTTCAGTTTAAAATGACTTAATTTACCTAACCTATTCGGAAATTTTCTAAATTAGTTTCTCTGGGAGAGTAAATATTCCTGAGTTTGTTGGAATAACATCTGAACAGTGAAAGTTTATTTGGAGAATTATTGGGACGAGTTGAACACTGAACTATAGTGAACAGGTTACTGGCAGTCATGATGACCATCTTGTAGTAGATAGGATTTAAACTATTACCCAGTCATGAGTTTTCTCAAGGGTATATATCTCCATGGGGAAGTGGAACACAATTCTTCCTCCGTAAGTCATGAGTGTCGTTAGAGGCGACTAAAATGCCGGGAGCTAATAGCTACTAACCCCATGTTATATGACTTACTATATTTAAATAGAAAAACTTTCGTTTTTCTTTTCAGGTCACCCTACCTGGGTGGGATACAGCCGGTATGTTGAAAAAATATACAGTGTATACACGGTTCAATCCCTATGTAGGTGGTTGTATATTTGTCTGGTGATGTTAGGAGACGTGGGCAGTTAATAGGTTCTAAATGCGACTTTTATATATTTTCTGATCCGGCAGCAACAGCCTGGTTGATCATGCCCTGACCCACCGCGAGGCCTGGCCAGAGACCGGGCCACGGGGGGATTGACCCCCCTGAAAAACCCTCCAGGTATATTCCAGGTGTATCCCTCCTAGTGTGTACAGTTGAGAGCAACAATGTTCGTACACTAGGAAGGTGTTTGGGCTATATACGGCTCACAGTACAAATTACACGCACCATTATGCAGGTTAAGTCAGGTTTCTAAACTAGTTTTGGTACAAAAATAAAATTCTTTATATCATTATCCGTGAAAAATATTTATCTATCGTTCTGTAAGAAAATATTTTGTAAAAAAAGAGGGTTTCAGGGGTCAACGCCCCCGCGATCCGGTCTGCCACCAGGCCTCCCCTAACCTCTTTTTAAATGACCTTTTGTGTAGTCTATACAATTTATATCTAACTGACCAAGTAATGTTTCAAACAGACGGAACTTTGAGGTGACAGCAACAGCCTGAGTGTTGAGAGAGAATGGCGTACGGTAAAGGTCAGGGAAGAATGTCTTACGGCAGAGGTCAAGGCACCATGGAGGAATATTTGGACTTGTTGCAGTATCTGTTGTATATCTTCAATACCATCTTCTTCGTAAGTACTATTAATGGCCTTTCTTGTAGACTGGCAGGGTTAGGTTAGGTTAGGTTAGGTTAGGTTAGGTAAGGTAAGGTTAGGTTAGGTAAGGTTAGGAGGTTAGGTTACGTTACGTTAGGGTGGACCAGGTTTGTCAGGAAACAGGACAAGTGTTTCCTGACGTGGGTCTTAGTCATATGATGACCTACAGCTGGAGATTTTGGTCATCTGACGGAGGCCTTCTACTGGCTTGCCACTAAACCCCTTTAAAAATTAAGATTAAATACATATTGATGGATTCGAAGGCTCATTTGGAACTCAATTTTTTAATTCAAATATATAATTGTTATACAGATGTATACATATAAATAATGACTTTACTAAATTTTTCCCAAAAAATACAGTTTAGAAAACCCGATTCAAAATTTCTGTTCCTACATTATATTAAATCTTGTTATTTATATACATATTGCAGCTAATTTCTAAAATATGTCAGAAAAAGATGGAAATAATGCTGAGGCAGAATGAGAGAATACTGAAAAAAAAAGATTTCTGAAAGAAACTCCTCAAGGGAGGTCTCTCGACGCTGGGGAGGGGCTCTTGATCTAGGGAATTGGATCTGTGCTCCAGGTCCGTGAATTAAGCCTGAATACCTTTCACATCCCCCCCTCCCCATATGTTGTATATTCCTACGGGTTTAGCGATCCTCCATGATTATTATAATCAGAAAGAAAAGACCGACGTTACTGATCTTGTGAAGACCATGTGTGTTAGGGCTGAGTTTTCTCTACTCTTTATTTTATATGGAATTATACGCTGTGTAGAAATGTTTATAACCTGGTCTCTTTCTAATAGCTAATGTCGGTACTTATAACGTTAGATTTCGTTATATTTTAGGTTACATTTGTTTTGGTTATATCTCGCCGAAAGCGTAGCATTAAATTTTTAAATTGTGCTTTATACACATGTTTTAGTACCATATTTTCTGGCATATAAGGCGCACAAGTATACAACTATGTAAGACTGTTTACAAGCGGTTGTAACATTAGTGAACTGCTAAAAGTGTAACACAAAGCCTACACTTGACCATGACTATGATCATATAAGACGCAGGCTGATTTTTCCAAGACTTTGTGGGGGACGCGCCTTATATGCCGGAAAATACGGAATATTGAGGATTTTTAGGCGGTCAAACGTACCTTCAGTGTGTTTCCCCATGCGTAAGATATCACTAACTTTCCTGTCATATTTTTCAGCTTGCCAGCTCCGCTGTCTTTGCTTTGGCGCTCTATGTTCGCTTCCAGAGCAGCATGACTGACTACATTGAAGGTCTGTTCATGTATTACTACTGGAACACCGTTGTAGCCATGATGGTGGGCGCTTCCCTGGTCATGTTGACCTCTTTCCTGGCCTGCTGTGGTGCCTACACCAGAAGCATCTCTCTACTAATTGCTGTGAGTATTATGACTCGTGAAATCATTATAGCAAGACTGCCAGAAAATAAAGATTATTTCAGCATAACAAAATATTATTACAGAGATGAACATCCTAGGTTCTCTACACACATGTTATGTATGATAATACATATATGTAAATGTATTTGTGTATACTTGAATAAAGTGACTGAGTGAGTGCTCATGTATACAATCTCATAGGTAGAAGTAAAAAAAATTTAAGAGTTACAGTGAAAACAAGAGAAATGAATAACGCAAATTAGGAAACAGGTGAGTTTCCCTTGCAATGTGTTCATGCACTTACTTGTTCTGTGATTTGATGAGAACATTATTATTCATTGTACAATATGCTTATTTTATATAAATGCCTTATTTCTAGTGCAATTTTTATGTGGTCATTGGAAAAAAGTACATTTAAAGCTGGATAGTGTGTGGAGAGGCCTTCGTGATGTGTTTACCTGGAGAGAGTTCCGGGGGTCAACGCCCCCGCGGCCCGGTCTGAGACCAGGCCTCCTGGTGGATCAGAGCCTGATCAACCAGGCTGTTGCTGCTGGCTGCACGCAAACCAACATACGAGCCACAGCCCGGCTGATCCGGAACTGACTTTAGGTGCTTGTCCAGTGCCAGCTTGAAGACTGCCAGGGGTCTGTTGGTAATCCCCCTTATGTGTGCTGGGAGGCAGTTGAACAGTCTCGGGCCCCTGACACTTATTGTATGTGTGCTGTTCAATTTTGAATGATTTTTTTCAATTTAGAAAAAAATTGCACTACATATAGATTTATAAGTGTTCACTGTGCTACTATTATGTTTAGGGGATATTGCTAAAACTTCATGGACCATATACAGTAGACCGTCGATTAAGACGATAGTTAGGCTCCTGAAAATGTAGTGCTAGACGAATCTGTGTTAAAAGAACTGAAGAACTTATGGAAAAAATAGGGTTACGTTCCTACGACCCCCCCCCCCCCCAAAAAAAAAAAAAAAAAAATTCAAACCTTTTTTTTTTTGTTGTTTTTTTAGGTCTCCAAATCTAACAGAAATAAAAATAATCCAATTGTTCATTATTGCTACAATGTATGCTTTTTCTATTGCTTATGGCTAAAAATGCAACTGAAATAATTATCTTAAATTGTGGTTGCTGGCATTTGTTGATGATTGTGAAGGAGGGAGTGGAGAGGCATACTGAGGCCCATCTGGGCTGAGGTGGCTGGTAGTCCAGTAAGTCAGTCCAGTCGAGTCAGTAGGTCAGTCAAGTCAGTAGTCATCCAACTCAGTAGGTCACTCATTGAAGTCAGTCAAATCATTCAGTAAATCAGGTCAGTCAGTCAGTGTAAAAGAATTCTCCAAGCTTAAGGCATGAAATTTCTACTGTAAAGAAACTTTTAATTGAATTTTCAAAGTAAATAATGTGAAATAGCGAAATTTGACAGTTGTGCAATGGAAAAACATTTACAGGGAAACGGTTTCAAACGCGTCACTGTACAAAATACTATTGGATTTACATGTATTGACTCTTCGGTCTGACTGGCTATAAAATCTAGGTTTGATCCAAGTGAGACCAAACGTTGTCATAAGGTTTCCAAATTCTATTTTTCAGCAGTTCTGTACTAGTCCTTTTTTTTCTTCAGTTTAAGTTTGTGATCAGTGTATCAGGAATTAAGGGAGTTGAAGGGTCATGCCCATTTTTAATACATAATCAGAATCTAACAAAGTTAATGTCCTTCTTTTACATGGAAATATGTGTTAGTTTCGCAGTACGTTACTTTAAATTTAAAATGATACATGGACATTTTTTAAAAGTATCATGGCAGCACCAAAAAATTTCCAACCCCAAAAAAATGGTCAAGTGGTGTTTCGACCATTCTGAGACTTTAAATCAGATTTCAACAAGTAATTACAAGTATACAAACATAATCTTTGGTACATTTATTCTGGAATATAGACAAGTCCCTTGTCAATGCAGATGCACTTTGGAAATTAGGTTCAATTTTGTCCCAGATGTAAAAACCATAAGTGACTAACACCGATTGCATTTCTCACTCAGGTGATAATAAAGCCCGATCACCATGCGAAACACTGCTGGTATACTCCATGGGTGCTGGAAAACTGTACATTTTCGATGCTGTATTTATAGGCTAAATAGTACCCTTATTGTATTTTTAAAAGAATATTATCGAAAATGGAAACCCAAGACCTTGCCCGCAGATAACAAGACTCAGTCATCGTTGGTTTTTAATTATTAAACGTTGGGAATGGAAGAATTTTCCAGGATGCTAAGCTCAAAATCGGCTGACACCCCAATAGGAGGAAAATTGGAAAAATGCCTGGATAGTGCTCATATTGGGAATATAAGCGCAAAGAGTTTGAGGAATTCTAAGAATAGTTTGCATTGCAGTGTATAGGCCACTTTTGAAGAAAATGTCAAAGATGAGGTTGTCTCAGAGAACAATTAAGCATCCCAGGACACAGTGTTCATCAGTATTTGCTGCATCTTCAATAAAGGTAAGTGTCATTTATTCTTATTATTTAGTAGATAGTACATGCACAATATATACTGTGCATGTACTACTCTACTATTGTGCATGTATCCTTCTCTTTGTGTGTGGGAAAATGTATATTTCATGTGGTAAAATTTTTTTTTTCATACTTTTGGGTGTCTTGCACGGATTAATTTTATTTCCATTATTTCTTATGGGGAAAATTCATTCACATAACGATTATTTCGCATAACAATTACCCCTCTTGCACGGATTAAAATCGTTAACCGGGGGTCCACTGTACCCCAAAAGAAGATAGGTCATAGATGGTGGTCAGTTCTGGACCATTTCTGAGACTTTAATAATCTTTATTTCTACAAGTACATGTACAAGGTATACAAACCATAACTGACATTAGTGACATACTACTATATAGAAAGTCCTTTGTCATGCAGAGCATTTTGGACAAATTAGGTTAATTTTGTCCCCCAGGATGTAACCCATACCAGTCGACTAACACCCAATTACCTATTTTACTGCTAGGTAAACAAGGACAGCAGGTGTCTTAGGGAAACACAGCCTAATGTTTCTACCCATACTGGGTGTGGAAAATACTGTACATATTTCCGGAAATACGGTAATTTATAGGTAAATAGATACCCTATATTGTATTTTTAAAAGAAGTATGTTATCGAAAATGGGAAACTGGACCTGCGCCTGCGCAGACAGGACTCGCCATCTTGGTTTTTTAATTTGTATTAGAAACGTTGGTGAATGGGAAAGAATTTTTCGTGCTCTAGAGGTTAAAATTGTGCTGACACCTCTCAAATAGGAGGCAAAATTGGTGGATATGCATTCCTGCATATCTTGAGATATCAGACGACTGGACAAGACAGCTCCAGGAACCTCAGATAAGCTCTCTAGATTTGTGTGTAATTCTGGCCAGCATTATTTTCATAGATTTAGTTAGAGTGAGGTTTTCTGAGTATGATACACATTAATCTCCAGTCAAATTGGTGAGTGATATTAAGATATATTTTCTTTCTGTTATGTAATTGTGTATATATATAACCATTTATTATTTTTAATATACAGTCCACAAATTTGTATATTTACCAGCATTCCTGGTGATGTATTTTTCATTTATAATTAATAGGTCCAGAGCAACTTGTGGATATAACAGTGGTGGGTATCGAAGGGGGACATTTTTTGCGACCTAGGTGTCCTAAATTCCTACTTGTCTAACTGATAAATAATAATTATCTTTGTTCATTTACTGTTATGTAAATAATGATACATTCAGCTAAATGTAATTTTCCACACTGGGGATTGAGCCATGGACCTTAGTGTGAGAATTGAGTGAGCTACAGGACAGGATGTTCCAGAGATGGGACACAGAAACAAGGGGTCACAATTGGAAGCTGAAGACTCAGACGAGTCAAAGGGATGTTAGGAAGTATTTCTTCAGCCACAGAGTTGTTAGGAAGTGGAATTGTCTGGCAAGCGATGTAGTGGAGGCAGGAATTATAATAGTTTTAAGACGAGGTATGATAAAGCTCAGGGAGAGGGCGGATCCAGTAGCGGTCAGTGAAGAGGCGGGGCCAGAAGCTGAGTCTCGACCCCTGCAACCACAATTAGGCAAGTACAATTAGGTGAGTACACATAATAGTGGGTCACCCATTATATACTACTTTTTATTGTTTTTCAAAGGTCTTGATCCAAGGATATGGCACTACCTTTCTCCTTGGATTAAACCTCATCCCCAAGGGCCTGTAGGCCTTCCTCATATTTACATAATCTTCTCAGTCTTTTCTACTTTTCTCGTCTCAGTTGTGACTTGACAATGGTGCTTCATAAGTGCCAGTGTTTCTTGAATTATTTTTATCTCAGAGTAGGTTACGTTGAACCAGTTAGACTAATAAACACTTACCAATGTAAACACTAGGTTGTACCAATTATACCAAAAACTTTACCAATGCAAATACTAGGTTGTACCAATTATACCAAACACTTTACCAAAGTAAACACTAGGTTGTACCAATTATACCAAACACTTTACCAATGTAAACACTAGATTGTACCAATTACGTATACTAATGAATACTCTCTCCCTTCTACCTGCATGAGCACTCCAGTACAAGGTGATGACTGTGGTTAACTTTATCTTCATGCTGTCAGCATCGGCCTACTTGTTGGCCAACGGCCTCGAGGACTCTAACCTCTTTCCATACGTACAGGAGACCATGAAAGGCTTAATTAACCAATACCAGTGGGACATGACGGTTAAGAGGTCCGTTGACATTATCCAGGAAAATGTGAGTATTGCTGGATATATATGTGTCGAAGAGCGATCCTAGTAAGGATGGATGTCTTTAGTATGCTCCAGGTACCCATGGTGTGGGTGGTAGTCAAAATATTCGAGTGGTACATAATGGGTCCAGGGACTGGGCCACAATGCACCATTCGAATATTTTGACTACTGCCCACACCATGGGTATGGTGTTGCTAACACCCACACCATGGGTATGGTGTTGCTAACACCCACACCATGGGTATGGTGTTGCTAACACCCACACCATGGGTATGGTGTGGCTAACACCCACACCATGGGTATGGTGTGGCTAACACCCACACCATGGGTATGGTGTGGCTAACACCCACACCATGGGTATGGTGTGGCTACCACCCACACCATGGATATGGTGTGGCTACCACCCACACCATGGATATGGTGTGGCTACCACCCACACCATGGGTATGGTGTGGCTATCACCCCACCATTGTATGGTGTGGCTATCACCCACACCATGGGTATGGTGTGGCTATCACCCACACCATGGGTATGGTGTGGCTATCACCCACACCATGGGTATGGTGTGGCTACCACCCACAACATGGGTATGGTGTGGCTACCACCCACACCATGGGTATGGTGTGGCTACCACCCACACCATGGGTATGGTGTGACTACCACCCACACCATGGCTATGGTGTGCTACCACCCACACCATGGGTATTGGTGTGGCTAACCACCACACACCATGGGTATGGTGTGGCTACCACCCACACCAAATGGGTATGGGTGGCTACCACCCACACCATGGGTATGGTGTGGCTACCACCCACACCATGGGTATGGTGTGGCTACCACCCACACCATGGGTATGGTGTGGCTACCACCCACACCATGGGTATGGTGTGGCTACCACCCACACCATGGATATGGTGTGGCTACCACCCACACCATGGGTATGGTGTGGCTACCACCCACACTATGGGTATGGTGTGGCTACCACCCACACCATGGGTATGGTGTGGCTACCACCCACACCATGGGTATGGTGTGGCTACCACCCACACCATGGGTATGGTTTACCTGGAGTTTACCTGGAGAGAGTTTCGGGGGTCAACGCCCCCGCGGCCCGGTCTGTGACCAGGCCTCCTGGTGGATCAGCGCCTGATCAACCAGGCTGTTGTGCTCTAGCTGCACGCAAACCAACGTACGAGCCACAGCCCGGCTGATCAGGAACTGACTTTAGGTGCTTGTCCAGTGCCAGCTTGAAGACTGCCAGGGGTCTGTTGGTAATCCCCCTTATGTGTGCTGGAGGCAGTTGAACAGTCCGGCCCCTGACACTTATTGTATGGTCTCTTAACGTGCTAGTGACACCCCTGCTTTTCATTGGGGGATGTTGCATCGTCTGCCAAGTCTTTTGCTTTCGTAGTGAATGATTTTCGTGTGCAAGTTCGGTACCAGTCCCTCTAGGATTTTCCAGGTGTATATAATCATATATCTCTCCCTCCTGCGTTCCAGGAATACAGGTTTAGAAACCTCAAGCGCTCCCAGTAATTGAGGTGTTTTATCTCCGTTATGCGCTCCGTGAAAGTTCTCTGTACATTTTCTAGGTCGGCAATTTCACCTGCCTTGAAAGGTGCTGTTAGAGTGCAGCAATATTCCAGCCTAGATAGAACAAGTGACCTGAAGAGTGTCATCATGGGCTTGGCCTCCCTAGTTTTGAAGGTTCTCATTATCCATCCTGTCATTTTTCTAGCAGATGCGATTGATACAATGTTATGGTCCTTGAAGTGAGATCCTCCGACATAATCACTCCCAGGTCTTTGACGTTGGTGTTTCGCTCTATTTTGTGGCCAGAATTTGTTTTGTACTCTGATGAAGATTTAATTTCCTCATGTTTACCATATCTGAGTAATTGAAATTTCTCATCGTTGAACTTCATATTGTTTTCTGCAGCCCACTGAAAGATTTGGTTGATGTCCGCCTGGAGCCTTGCACTGTCTGCAATGGAAGACACTGTCATGCAGATTTGGGTTTCATCTGCAAAGGAAGACACGGTGCTGTGGCTGACATCCTTGTCTATGTCGGATATGAGGATGAGGAACAAGATGGGAGCTAGTACTGTGCCTTCTGGAACAGAGCTTTTCACCGTAGCTGCCTCGGACTTTACTCTGTTGACGACTACTCTCTGTGTTCTGTTAGTGAGGAAATTATAGATCCATCGACCGACTTTTCCTGTTATTCCTTTAGCGCGCATTTTGTGCGCTATTACGCCATGGTCACACTTGTCGAAGGCTTTTGCAAAGTCTGTATATATTACATCTGCATTCTTTTTGTCTTCTAGTGCATTTAGGACCTTGTCGTAGTGATCCAGTAGTTGAGACAGACAGGAGCGACCTGTTCTAAACCCATGTTGCCCTGGGTTGTGTAACTGATGGGTTTCTAGATGGGTGGTGATCTTGCTTCTTAGGACCCTTTCAAAGATTTTTATGATATGGGATGTTAGTGCTATTGGTCTGTAGTTCTTTGCTGTTGCTTTACTGCCCCCTTTGTGGAGTGGGGCTATGTCTGTTGTTTTTAGTAACTGAGGGACGACCCCGTGTCCATGCTCCCTCTCCATAGGATGGAAAAGGCTCGTGATAGGGGCTTCTTGCAGTTCTTGATGAACACAGAGTTCCATGAGTCTGGCCCTGGGGCAGAGTGCATGGGCATGTCATTTATCGCCTGTTCGAAGTCATTTGGCGTCAGGATAACATCGGATAGGCTTGTGTTAATCAAATTTTGTGGCTCTCTCATAAAAAATTCATTTTGATCTTCGACTCTCAGTCTGGTTAGCGGCTTGCTAAAAACTGAGTCATATTGGGACTTGAGTAGCTCACTCATTTCCTTGCTGTCATCTGTGTAGGACCCATCTTGTTTAAGTAGGGGCCCAATACTGAACGTTGTTCTCGATTTTGATTTGGCATAGGAGAAGAAATACTTTGGGTTTCTTTCGATTTCATTTATGGCTTTTAGTTCTTCCCGCGATTCCTGACTCCTAAAGGATTCTTTTAGCTTAAGTTCGATGCTTGCTATTTCTCTGACCAGTGTCTCCCTGCGCATTCAGATATATTGGCCTCTTTTAGCCGCTCTGTTATTCTTTTCCGTCGCCTGTAAAGGAGGAGCGCTGTCTCTTTCTATTTTACATCTACTCCTCCTTTTTCTTAGAGGAATAAGCCTTGTGCATACATCGAGTGCCACCGAGTTAATCTGTTCTAGGCATAAGTTTGGGTCTGTGTTGCTTAGTATATCTTCCCAGCTTATATCGGTTAGGACTTGGTTTACTTGGTCCCACTTTATGTTTTTGTTATTGAAGTTGAATTTGGTGAATGCTCCCTCGTGACTAGTCTCATTTTGTCGGTCTGGGGCTCCACGCATACATGTCTGACCCTCAATTATGTTGTGATCTGAGTATATTGTTTTTGATATGGTGACATTTCTTATCAGATCATCATTGTTAGTGAAGATGAGGTCTAGTGTATTCTCCAGTCTAGTAGGCTCTATTATTTGCTGGTTTAAATTGAATTTTGTGCAGAGATTTAAAAGCTCGTGTGAGTGTGAGTTTTCATCAGAGCTGCCTCCTGGTGTTATTTCTGCAACAATATTATTTGCTATATTCCTCCATTTTAGGTGCCTTAAGTTGAAGTCTTCCAGGAGCAAGATGTTGGGTGCAGGAGCTGGAAGATTTTCCAGACAGTGGTCAATTTTTAACAGCTGTTCCTGGAATTGCTGGGATGTTGCATCCGGAGGCTTGTAGACTACCACAATGACTAGGTTTTGGTTCTCGACCTTTACTGCTAAAACTTCCACTACATCATTTGAGGCATTAAGCAGTTCTGTGCAAACAAGTGACTCTGCAATGTACAGGCCAACCCCCCCCCCCTTTTGCCTGTTCACTCTGTCACATCTGTATAGGTTGTAACCTGGGATCCATATTTCGTTGTCCAAGTGATCCTTTATGTGGGTCTCAGTGAAAGCCGCGAACATTGCCTTTGCCTCTGCAAGCAGTCCACGGATGAAAGGTATTTTGTTGTTTGTTGCTGGCTTTAGACCCTGTATATTTGCAAAGAAGAATGTTATCGGACTGGTGGTGTTGTTGGTACTGGGGGGGGATTTTTTTTTCCGGCATTAGTATCTGTATTTGTTGGTTTGGAGTGGAGGCCATCGACTGTGGTTCCACTCCAGGAATGACTGGATTTGGTGTACGATTTCTGCCATTTCCTGCCAGTTTTTTTTCCTTCCTGGCACTAAAAAACCTCTCCCTCTTGAGTGGCTGTGGCTACCAGGTTTTTCCATGGCCTGGATGTTTTGTATCTTTTTGTCCCCTTTAGATGGTATGCCTGGCAATTTAAGTTATAGCACAGTCTTTCCTGTACTGAAGAGGTACACATTTCAGGGTGAAAAAGCTTACAGGAAGGGAGTTTGCATTTTCCTGTTTTCATATGGGCATGGCATTTTCTAGGGTGGTCATAGTTGCATGTCCCATCTGTTTTTCCAGATTTCCCATGCCAGCAGATACCAAGTGCATAGTATGTGCACAGGCTTGGTTTTCGCTTGCCTTGGGTTTCTGTGACTGTATTCCCTGTTGGTGCATGTTTCCCTGTCTTACTTCTATCCTCCCTAGCACCAACAATGGAGCTCCCACCAGTTGTTTTTGGTAATTTATCCTCACTATTGCTATTGGAGTCCTCTTGTTTGCTATTTACTGCGGTATTTCTAGTTTGCAATATTGGTTTTATCTTATCTTTGACTACACTTGTTTCCCTACTATGGCTCCTGTCCCCTATGAGGTCATTTATATGTATTCCTTCCTGCGTATAATTCCCGACTACCTGGACAAAATCTCCAGCTTCACCATTTCTGTCTCCCAGGACAGTATCTCCAGCTTCACCATTTCTGTCTCCCAGGACAGCACCTCCAGCTTCACCATTACTGTCTCCCAGGACAGCACTATCAGCCCCACATTTACTGACTACCAGGACA